TATCACTTCAAATAACTTTTCTGTTCTTTATCCAATCTTCCGCCACCAATGGGTCAGAACCCCATGAAGGCAGGAGGGTTAGCCTTCGGTATTTCTCAATGTTGTTTGTATCCACTACACCAAGGTGAATCCCCTGTTGTGGCACCGATGCTGACTCCGCCTGTAATTCTCTATCCCGGATCATAGTGGCTAGGCTCTCAACTACTTTGCATAGCCGGTTAAAGTCCTCATGTTGCACGCTGGACTGCCCTGCGTGGGTTACAGATGGACCAGTAGCGGGTCTCAGTTGTGCGGGAAGGGGCACGGCGTGATACGGGGATGACCCTTGAAATGTAGTGAGTGGCACCTGGAGAAACCCCGGTGCTCGTTGTGAGGCCCCTGGTGAGCCTTGCGCCCCCGGAGCAGATTCACGATGGGGTCGGCCCCCTTCAAAATGACGTCGTTTCCCCCCGCCTTTTTTTTTTCTTTCTTCAGTTACTGCAACGTATATTTTAAATTTTAGTACGATTAGTTATTTTTAATATTCATGATTGTATTAATTAAATATAATAAATTTTTGATCTTAATAGTGACGGTATTTTGTATAATTATTTCTATTAAATACATAAAATCTTTTTTTCACTTAAATCAATTTTGTTAAAAAAATTATTTCAACATTACTTTTATCCCTACTAACAACACAATTACAAACAACGATGGACTGTTTGATTTGCATACTTCCTCCATAATTTCCAATGAAATTAGTGAAGTTTTCGTGTGTGTGTGTGTGTGTGTGTGTGTATATATATATAAAAGAAAAGTAAATTTCTTCTTAAAATCATAAATTGGAGAGTACTCAAACATTTATTTTCTTTGGATTTAACCATTTATTTGCAAAATTTCTACATCAAGGTGTTAGTTATATTACTTATTTCATCAATTGCGTTTATAAATGAATGTTTTACTGCTTTCAGAAGTAAGCCTTACAAATTTATGGTTCAAACTTAACCAGAAATATTAGGTAAGAGAGAAAGGTGGTTGGAATGGGGGGGTTGCATACTTTCTTTGAGAAATAAATTAATTTTCTCTCATATTTAATTATTTTTAGTTTAATTTAAGATAATAAAAAATATGTAATAATCATCTTGATTATGTTTTAATTAATTATAAAATATGTATATATATATATATGTACATATTTTCTTTTCATTAATACATGTTCCGAATGAAGTTCCCCTCACGTACAGCTCAACTGTCAAATACCTGTATATAATAAGCTTAAACTAACCATTATCACTTACCAGAGTAGCTCCTGCTCTTTCTCCAATGGAGGGCCAAAAACAACCGGAGCAACTCGAGTTCATTTTCCGATCAAAACTCCCCGATATTTATATCCCAAACCACCTCCCTCTTCACACATACTGCTTCGAAAACATTTCCAAATTCAAAGACCGCCCCTGCATTATCAACGGCGCCGACGGTAAGGTCTTTAAGCACGGCGAAGTCGAGCTCACTGCGAGAAAAGTTGCCGCCGGTCTGCACAAGCTGGGCATCAAACAAGGCGACGTGATCATGCTCTTGCTCCAAAACTCGCCGGAGTTCGTCTTCACGTTCATTGGTGCATCGTATCTCGGCGCCATAATCACCACTGCGAATCCTTTCTTCACCCCATCGGAGGTGGCCAAGCAGGCGACGACGTCGAACACCAAGCTGGTCATTACTCAATCCTCCTACGTGGACAAAGTGAGAAATTTTTCCAAGAACCATGGGGTAAAAATAGTGACCGTCGACGACCTGGAGGAGGATTATTGCTTGTCTTTCTCCGAGCTTTCTGGCGCCGACGAGACAGAAATTCCGGCTGTGAAGATAAACCCAGATGACGTCGTGGCTCTGCTGTACTCGTCGGGGACGACGGGGTTGCCGAAAGGGGTGATGTTAACCCACAGGGGTCTGGTGACAAACGTCGCCCAACAGGTTGACGGAGAGAATCCGAACATGTACTTTACCGAGAAGGACGTGGTTCTGTGCGTTTCACCGTTGTTCCATTTATACTCTTTGAACTCGGTGATGCTGTGTGCGTTTAGAGTGGGGGCGGCGATACTGACAATGAAGAAGTTTGAGATGGTGAGGTTGATGGAGCTGGTGGAGAAGCACAGGGTGACGGTAGCTCCGTTAGTCCCGCCGATCGTTCTGGCGATAGGAAAGAGCTCAGACGTTAGGAACTATGACCTGTCGTCGATCAGGATGATTATATCCAGTGCTTCTCCGCTGGGGAAGAAGGTTGAGGATGCTGTTAGAACCAAGCTTCCTAATGCCAAACTTGGACAGGTAAATATACGCCGCCTTATTTTAATCTTTAATTTATTAGTATTAAACCTAAAATAGCTTATATTTATTTTTAACCACAAAGTTTGATTTATTTATATGATAAAAAGAATACGGTCGTAAATTCAGAATTTATTACCATTTTAGTCCTGTATTTCAATAAAAATTAAAAATTTGATTATATTTATTTCAATTATAAAATAATATGAATTTTATTAAAATATAACAAAAAATTATTTTACACACAATTCAAAAATTCCTATTATAATTTCAACATTTATATGATTGAATTAATATATAAATTTATAAAAAAAATCTAGAAAATTTTCGAATTATTCAAACTAAAAACTTTATTTTTTCAAAAAAAAGAATGTGGAATTCATTGTTATTTTAATATTTTTAACAACATCAAAAAAATACATTTCATTTTCTATATCCTTATTGTTATGTTCTAAGAGCTATTATTTTCATTCAACCCATTAAACACGCACCTAAATTTCAAATAATGAAATGTTTATAGGAGTAGAAAAATTCTTTATATGAGAAATTTAGTTAATAATATATATATATATATATATATATATTTATATTTAACAATTATTTTTAAACTTAATTAATTATTTATAATTTAGCGATTGAAATATATATATATAAAGAAAAGATTCGATGGGTTTGCATACTTGTAGGGATATGGAATGACAGAGGGTGGCACACTATCAATGAGCCTGGCATTTGCAAAGGAACCCTTTGAGGTAAAATCCGGTGCGTGCGGGACCGTCGTAAGAAATGCGGAGATGAAAATCGTTGACCCAGAAACCGGACTTTCCCTTCCTCCAAATCAGGCCGGAGAGATTTGCATCAGAGGTGCCCAGATCATGAAAGGTCACTTTAAATAATCTCTAGTACTTGAATAAATTTGATTTTGTCAAAAATGATGGAAAAATTTATAAATTAAAAATTAAGTAAGAAAAGAGAGGGCGGTGGAGTTTGGACAGGTTACCTTAACGACGAGGAGGCGACAAAGAGAACGGTAGACAAAGATGGATGGTTACACACAGGCGATGTGGGATACATCGATGATGACGATCAGGTTTTCATCGTTGATAGATTCAAGGAATTGATTAAGTACAAAGGATTCCAAGTGGCTCCGGCTGAGCTCGAGTCTATGTTGATTGCACATCCCGATATCTCTGATGCCGCAGTTATCCCGTATGTCCTCTAGATCAATATACATATATATATATATATATATATACACAACATTATTAATTGATTATTTAATTACTATACGAGTTTTCATTTTTCAGGATGAAAGATGAGGTTGCAGGGGAGGTTCCTGTTGCATTTGTGGTCAGATCAAGTGGTTCCAAGATTGTTGAAGATGAAATCAGAGAATATATTTCAAAGCAGGTAATTGTTAACTATATACATACATATATATATATATATATATAGAGAGAGAGAGAGAGAGAGAGAGAATAGGGTCCTACTGATGATAATAGATTTAATGAATGATAATTATATATGCAGGTTGTGTTTTACAAGAGACTTGCTGGAGTTTTCTTCACGGATTCCATTCCTAAAGCTCCATCAGGCAAAATCCTAAGAAAAGAATTGAGAGCGAGATTAGCAGCTGCTCTTCCCAATTAAGACAAGCACATATTAAAAGCAATTTTTTTTTTTTTTTTTTTTGTATAAGCACTTCTTTTTTCTTCATGGAGGCAATACGCACACACATATATATACACACACACACAAATTACTTTGCCCTTGAAAAAAAATTGATTATGAAGCTCTATGAGGATCCCTTCGGGAGGCAAAGTGCTTAGCTATTGTCCCTATGTATTTTATATCTACTATGATGAAGGTAAATCTATAGTTAATATTGTAAAAGGATTTGTAGGAAAAGAAAAAGGTGCAATTTTTTTGACCATAAAAATACAAAAGATTTTTTTCTACGAACATATTAATTAACCACCTATACGGTGCCGTTCTGTTAGTTACATTGGGCTCATCTTTCTATGAGCCTCAAGCCCATATATGTACAACTATTTGTGGGCTTTGTTTGAACCCACAGTTCAATGGACTCCTAATGTCAACTTTATTATGATTAAATTGTATTTGGGGCAAAAAATAATTTTCTAATTTTTTTTATTTGTATCTTCAGGTTTGAAACAGAAAATATTTCCTAAAATAGAAATAAAAATTACAGTCTGGTTGATCAACAAAATAGATAGATATATATATATATATAAACTATTTCCTATAAAACTACAAAGCAAAGGCTCCACTAAAATGACAGGAGTGGTGACATTTCATCTTCCATTAGCCAACGTGTCAATATCGAGGGGTGCCCTTTTGTCTGCCACCCTTCGTGGAACTTACTTTCTCTCTAACCTCTCTTCAATTTTTACAAATATATATATATTATAAACATATAAATATGTTTAATAATTAAACAACACAATCAATTTTCTAGTGAAATATAAATGGAATACCTAGTCTAATTTTTATCATTCACAGGAAAACAAAGATTAATCAATAAAGTTACTGCAATAATTTGACAATAATTAACAATGATTAATTTATAAAATTAATTAATAAAGAATTAATGTCATGCATTATAACTTTTCACTCTTCGTTTTTCAATAATTTGACTATAATTTTCAAAAATATTATACGGTTTTTTATATACCAATATAGAAGGGTAGTTCAAAAGCTAGCTTCTATATATTCACCATTTGTGCTATAAACTCAGTTTTATATAACATTCTCCTATGTGTGTGTGTATATATATACACAAATTCCATTCTCTTTAATTTTCCAAGCTAGCGGCAGGACTAAATGACAGCATTTGAAAGCAAACTTTCATGGATATATACCGTATAGGGAGATGAGATACTGAAACTGGACAAATACTTAATGGAGATTAATATTAGCTAGCTAGCATGGCTGGAAAGGGACGTGTCGTCCTCACTTGCAAATTATCAAGGAAAAGTATATATATATATATATATGTGTGTGTGTGTGTGTATGTATGAAAGTGATATAATGCATGGGACCCAGCAAGCAAGAAGCTTGATTAAGAAACTCAATAACGACGATGCTTTGTAAAAGGTGGTGACATTTAGTTGAAAGGACTTTGTGAACTGTCCCTTAATCTTACCATCATCTATTTCTAATTACATCCACAAATTAAGACAAAAACTCATGCACACGCGTCCATATATATATATATGTATATATAATTTCTCAAGTGTCAAAATGCCAAACGGGTCGGATTCTGACAGGCAAGGAAGCCCAGAAAGATTCGGCCCAATGACTCGCGATTACTCAAGTATTTTTCTCTATTTCGGTGAAATGCTATTATTTCGCGAAATCTTTGTAAGACTTATTCAAAGAGAAGAAACAAATTTAGAATCATAATTCCAAAACTGGCCAAAATTAACTAAAATTATAAGTAACGAGTTTAAAAAAAGGTTAAAATTAGGAAAACAGTTTGTGATATTTTGTTTTAAATTATCTAGGGTTAAGCAAAAAATGTTAGAACAAGAAAAAGGTGGAGGAAAGTAGAGAGATGGATTCAGGTTTGTCATGGGCTGATCAATGGGATTACAACAATCCAGATCCTCCACCAAAGGCATCAGCTGATGAAAAGAAGAAAGGGAAAGATGGAAGCAAGAACAAGTTGGGAATATCCATATTAACCTTCAAATGGATGAAAGAACTCCGCAAGAAGTCTCACAAATGATTCAGTACATATATATATATATATATATATATGTATACACCCTTTAATGAAATATTTCATTATTTTTGTTTTTCGGAAAAAAAAAAAGTGTTATAATGCGTAACTAGAAACGATCCCTTTATGAATCTATGTTCCCAAGCAAAAAGAAGAAGCGATGTTCATAAGGAGGATATATATATATACATATATTGCATGAAACACCACGCGTGCATGCTAAAATTGGGAGTCTCTATATATACCCATATCAGCATTAAATTTAAATATTTAAAATTGAACAAAATATATATCTGGAAGTTTGGGATTCAAGTGATCTGGTCCCCTTTGGAGGACATATTCTTTGCACCCAGAAAGCTACAATAACGTTTTGCAATAAATATATGTATATCCAAAAATTATATTAATTAAAAAAATTCCCAAAAAAGAGCACTTTATACTGGAAAGCAAAAATGTGGTATGTGTTGAAGCGGGACCTGACAGGCCAATCTTCAAAGCTGATGGTTAAAAGAACTTCAATGGCAGCCAAAGATCAAATCACTGAAAGCTAAAAGAGATAATGATATGTATGATAGCCTCAACATCATCATGCCCACACAACCACTTTCAAAAAGAGATGAAGGTACTATTATCATCAGCCTTTTGTCAACTATATAAATATATATGTATATGTATAAACACTTGATGGCCAATAAAAGAAAAACAGGTAAGAAGATAAAGTGAGAAAAGAAAATGTATAGTGGTGAAGGAGAAAATGGTTGATGATCGTGAAAAATTATGATCCATGTACGTGTAGGGAGAAAAGAGAACCAGAAGCATTTGATTAATAATCACCTCCATAACCTATTTAATATTGTAATCTAAAATCCGACAACTCAG